AAAATAAATAATCCTTTAACAATAGGAGAAAAGCACATTAAAAGAATCTGCCACCCAGGTATAGTATTGCAGCACAGGCCTGTAATCACAGCTACTTAGAAGGCCGAAGCAGGAGGGTCAAATTTAAGGCCAGCCTGGGAAACTTAGTGAGACCCTGTCTTAAAATGAAATCATTAAAGGGCTGGGTATATGGCTCAGCATTCCTCTGGTCCAATCCCCAGTACTGCAAAGGAAAAAAATTTCCCCTTGTTTCAGTAACAGCTTTCATCAAGCTACTCCTTCATGTGGTTTGACAGTAACCTTACAGCACAAGTCTCAGCTTTTCTTCAATTTAATGAACCCTGATCTTTCTTGAATGAACCTTACTAGGAATTTATTTAAGAACTAAAACAATCTATCTGGAGAAAGGGTCAGTGTTCCTTCCCAGATTTCTGCCCCGTTCTGGTCCTGTGGCTGCAGATTCCTCTGTCTCTCGACTCACCTGGGAGTGGGTTCTGTTGGAGACACTGCACGGTGCATCGTCATGGGCCTTGTGAAGTACACCAGGTAGCCTGCAAAGGAGACCACAGACAGGCACATCAAGGTCAGTGAGTTGCATGTGGGAAATCCTGAAGCAGGACTGGGCTAGCTTTTTCTCTATTTCACTATCCCTGAGATAAGACACAGTTTCAAGGGACTGCAAGGGTTCACGGCTGCAGGAACAAGGTCAGGCTCTCCACGGTCCGGGAGAGATGGGACAAAGTCTTCACGGTACTTTATGTATCTCCTCTAGAAGATCTGTCCTCTCAATGAGGATCTGAACAGACGAAAATCCAACACGCTCAGAATGAAAAAATGAAGGTTTGAATTCTGGTAAACACTCTTAGGATATGCCCACACACACCAATATGGCACCACACCCTATAGCTACAAAGGTCTTTTTGAGTTCTTAGCAAATAAAAACAAAATCTTTATGAAGATGTTTACATAGACTACACAACACTCTTGGCTGCATTCTCTTAAGATCTAGAATCAGAACCGTAAGAAACCAACCTGCTCCACAGAACCTGGCCCCAGAGGTCCTAGGAAAGGGGATATTGGCATCCTGGTAAGACCCATAGGCAGTGGTGACCCGCGCAAACGTTGGCAAGGGTGGTGTGACCGAGTTCGGGAGTGCAAATGGATTGCTGGAAGTGTTGTCTTCTTGGTTCTGAAATTTAAAAAGCAAACTAGAAAACCACAGCCTATCTGAAAGCTGAATTACGAAACAGGGGTTCGATGTTACAAAATCAGAGAGCCCAAGACTGCAGGGAGAAGAAATTCAACAAGACACCAACATATCAGTTGGCACAATTTCATGATGCCTACCACGAAAGACTCAAGGCAGGAGACGAGCTGGCGCAGGCAGGGCTCCAAACAGCTCTGGTTTCGTTTCACTTTTTGCAGTGAGGTGTCCTTCAAGATCTAGAAAACGCCCAAAACACAGTCAGAAATGGCACCATATTAGCCAGGCATGGTGGCACATGCCTGTAATCCCAGCACTCGGGAGGACTGGGAGGAGGATTGTCATGAATTTGTCTGAGACCAGCCTGGGCTACATAGTGAGTTCAAGGCCAGCCTGGATTACAAAGTGAGACCCTCTCTTGAAAGGAAAGGAAGAGAAAGGGGAAGGAAGAGGGGGAGGGGAGAGGAGAAGGGAAGGGAGGAGAGGGAAGAGGAGGGAAGAGGAGGGAAGGGAAGGGGAGGGAAGGGGAGGGAAGGGAAGGGGAGGGGAGATGGAAGGAAGGGAGGAAGGAAGGGAGGAAGGGAGGGAGGGAGGGAAGGGAGGAGGGAGGGAAGGGTCCCATAACCCCTGGTTGGCTTTATTCTGCCAAGTAGTCAGAAGCATGGCCTTGGTGGCTGGAGCATGATCAGGCCTGAGGCTTCCAGTACAACACACTCCTCTCTTGTTCTCTGGGGGTGGGTCAAAGAGAATGATGCCTTCCTGAGCCTCCTACAGAAGCCTTTTACAGCGAAGGAGCCACACCCTGGTTTTGACAGAGCAGGTTTTGGTAACAGAACAACTATCCTTTCTCTCTAGTGAATTCTGACTCTTGGTTTCTCCCAAGCCCACTTGTTCAAAAGAAATGGCAGCATCCTGGACGTAACACCTGCTGACCTGGACCGAAAGCTGCTCTGGAGATGCAAGCCAGGGGGAACAGATTTGTCCTCATTAAAAATCACAATGTATTTTTATTTTTTGTCCTTTAAAGTGATAAAGCCTAATGTGTGGAAGAAAAACCCAATAAATCCTAATATTTTAAGGTGCATGCTATTGACAGGAAACTGCATCCACACTGACGTGGGTATATGAACTGGACCACATAAAATATGCCTCAAAAGATGCTCTAAGTGGAAAATCACAGACTTGGAGGACTAACAAACTATAAACTATCTTGGTAATTTTATAATGATTTTATGTTACATGAGAATAATAGTTTGGATATACTGGATTGTTAAGACATATTACAATTAATTTACCTGCTTTTCTTTTTTACATTTTTAAGTGTGGCTACTGGAAATATAAAATTACATGTGGTCTGCATTATATTTCTATTGGACAGAGCTGAATTACATCTTTAAAGATGTCCCATAAGCATATCTTTTTATAATAGTGCAAGAAAATCCATCTTTTTTGTATGTTTAAGCAATGAAATAGAATCTAAGTTTAAAATGATAAACACTGCACCATAAAATCTAAGTAATTAGCACTTTAGGGATTCTTAAGCCACTTAAAAAGTTTCTGGTTACATATGATACCACAAGACAGAACACTCAGGTGTGTGTGATTCAAAATGGGGAAAAGATAAGCAACACTCAGCTCAGCTTGGCTTTGTCAGGGCAGTCTACTTCCTTCAAGGGTACCGCTCAAACCAAAAAAAAGTGTGTTACCAGCTAGCTCATGACGTTTTACTTTATTTTTTTGAGACAGGGCCTTGCTCTACTGTAACCCTGGCTGGATTTGAATTCTTGATCCTTCTGTCTCACCCTGCCCAATGCTGGGATTAGAGGTGTCGCTACCACACCTCACTTTGTGAGCTTTTCTGAAATAAAGGCTGTGCCTCCTCATATCAAGCTTCTGATCCTGCAGAGCTGAAGACCAGCTGCCAGGCTGTGGTGCCCACAGACACTGCTGCCCCTCACATACCCGGCCTGTGGCTAGCGAGCCTCTCTCCAGGATAATGCTAGCTAGCTCCTTCTACTGGACCAATTCTTTTTAATGACCATATGCACTTTTTTTCTGATTATCAAACATCTTTTAGCTTCAGAATACATCTTGCCTATTGTCTACAAATAAATAAAACTGCAATGCAGGGTTCCTAACCTAGGATTAATGCATAGCTTTAATGCAGTCCGTGAGCAAATCATATTCAATTCAAACATTTATATGCAATATTTCTAAAGTTATATGCAGCCCTTGTGCAAATGTTTCTGCGGAAGAGTCCACAGTTTTCATCAGACTTCCAAAGGGCATCTATGAGCCAATAAAAAGGTTAAGGACCACTGCTCTAATGGTACCCACAGGAAGTAAAAGGCCAGTGCAGGAAACATGTGACTCCCACATCTTACTGAGTTTTCACTCAATTTTCCTACTCAGCCTAGACACTGAGGCACACAGCACAGCTCATCTTACAAAAACAAGGAGAAGCTGGGGTCCCACCTTTAGCAGCTTAGCTTTCATGGTGGATGTGATGGTCGTGGGGTTAATGAACTGGAAGGAAGGGGCGGCATTGTTGGGGTACTGCGCTGGGAACTTCACCAGCATCTTGACGCGGTGGTTGCTGCAGTGCACGGACACTGTGCAGCTCCTGTCCGCTGCGTCCATCTGCAAGACACAAGTCCATGACTGCTCTGGAGACAAACTGCGAAGGTCTTCAGATACAACTGGATTTTTATTTTCATTTTTTAATTTTTTGGTGGTGCTGGAGCTCAAACTCAGGAACTTACACATGTTAGGCAAGCACTCTACCACTGAGCCAGACCAGCAAGATGCAAAGAGATTTACAAAAGCTACTAGAATGTTCCATGTTCCTGGAAACTGAGGAAACGGAAGAGTTTACAAAGACAAATGAGTGTGGAGACACTTCATTTTCCAAATAGATTTTTAAATTTTAGCACAAATTTAATAAACCCAAAATATTTTGACTCTGAAGAAAAAAAAGCTTTGGGGACCAGGGATGTAGCCCAGCACCTGCCCGGCAAGCACAAGGCCCTGAGTTTGATTCCTGCTACCCGCCTCCCAAAAAAAGAGAGAGAAAGGAAAGCAAAGCTTTATCTCAAAGCTGTGAAGCTGGCTAAAACTTGTCATATTTACTCTCAGATGAGAAAATATAGCAGGCAGAAGCTAAAAGAAATAACCTGATTCAACTTAAAAAGTACTCCGGGGAAAACCCACAGATAGTAGATTTGTGGCTGCCAGGAGTTGGGCAGAGGGCAAATGGAGAGTGACCGCTAATGGGTAAGGAGATGTTTTTTAGGATGATGAAATGTTCTGGAATTAGATAGTGGTGATGGTTGTACAGTTCTGTGACTAAGAGCCAGTAACTGCATAGTTTAGAAGGGTGAATTTTGTGGTATGTGAATTACTTCTTAAGAGTTTTTAAGAGTGACTCCTGAGGAAAGGAATCAGGATCTCCTTAAACGGTATCATTAGGTAGCCACATGGTTCTCAACTAGGCCAAAGGGAGCATTAGCTGAGTTAATATAGATAACAGATTAATCTGCCGATTTCTGGTGCTGCCAACTACAGAGGGCAGCTGGAGGACGGTGAAAAGAGCAAATATGCCAGAGAGCCAGAGACTTGGATTCAAACACCACCCTCTTCTACCAAATAGCTGCTGATGGTGGACAAGTCATTTCATCTCTGGAATCTGTTCACTCATCCATAAAGTGAGGTGAAACACTTACTAGAGAATTATCTTTTGACATTGGGGGCTACAAGGTATCACTATGTAGTTCAAGCTGGCCTTAAGCTCACTATGTAGCCCGGGCTATGAACTGGCAACAATACTTCTGCCTCAGGCTTCCAAGTGCTGGGATTAAGGCCTGTGCCACCACATTCAGCTTTACTTGTTGTTTTAGTCTTTTTGAAATAGGGTCTCCCTATGTAGTTTAGGCTGGCCTTGAGCTCACTATGTAGCTCAAGCTGGCCTTAAACTTGCCTTGATCCTCCTGCCCCAGGTTTCCAGTGCTAGGATTAGAGGTGTGCACTACCATGCCTGGTTTAGAGAATTGTGAGACAGTCATAGAATGGCACATATCTCTGCCTACAGTTAACTGAACCTGGGCAAAGGAAAAACTAACCAAGCATTCAGACTCCTCCCTAGAGGGATATGCAATTCTCTGAAGCAAAGAGTTGCAATACTTGCCCAAAAGTAAAAGAATAAATGGTTCCACGTGCTAAGTGAATGTACAGGACTGTGGACTAAATTGGCAAGGAAATAACCAGCGCATAAAGGACAGTAGTAAGCACAGTGCAGACAGCCTGGGGAGTCAGGAGGGTCGGCTTCCAAAGTCAGCTCTGCGTTAAGTTCCCCAGTAGTCCCTACCAATAATGAGGACTTTCTCGAGCAAGTGGTGTCACATGTAGCAAAATGAGGTATCAGAGCACCTAAGCAGGGGCACAGGCTTCAGCTCATCCTAGGAGAACAGAGTAAGCTCAGAAAATAAATCTGGGGCTGGGGTTGTAGCTCAGGGGTAGATGCTTACCTAGCACGCATGAAGCCCTAGGTTCTAACCCCAGCACTGCAAGGGTGGGAGGTCTGCATTTGGGAAACAGACATGTCTTTCTTTAAAAAAATATAGGAATTAAGACAGCAAGCACAGAGACTCACTTGTTAGAGCCACAAAGCTATTTGCGAGCTGAAATCCTAGCTGAAATGGCCCACTCTCCCACAGACTGCCATGGGCAGGCGTGAGGCAGGCTCTTCAAGCTGGGACTTACCTCTACGTTGACATTCCGGATCTGCACGTTGATTAGCGAGAATTCCTGCTGCAGAGTCTGCGGCAGGCCCAGCTGATCTGACTTCCTCTCCTCCAGAAGACTGCTAGGGGGATCTTCCTTTAAGGCTAAGAGGAGAGATGCTCAATGTTGGAAAATAGTTTAGAAAGTCAGTCCATTCTGGGGTATGTGGGTAACTATGAAATGTGTAGTGAGCGCTCCCCTCAGACTAGTCTGACAGTACCTTCTTCCTCCCCGTGGCTTGAATTGTGCTGGTGATCAGTGTCTTGGGTGTGCAGGGTCTTCTCTGGTTCTGGCAGAAGAGAAATGCTCTCAATGAACTCATCACTATCCAGTATGTCATTGGCACAGAGCTGCAACGAAAGGTAGAAGACATGGGGCTAGAGAAGTCAGTGGAAATGATCAATGTATCCGGTTCCAGTTGTCACTTAACAATGGGTATCAGAAGCATAGAGATGTGTCAGCTCTGGCTGACACACCAAATTAGATTTTACCCATTACTAACAATCAAATAGATCTTATCAATTATCAACTCTCCCTGGTTAAATGTGCAGGGTAACAGACTCTATTATTCTACCCTGGACATTTTTCTTACAGAGTTTATGCAAGGCTTAGGAAAAATTAATTGAAATCACAAACCTTTTGGAGTTATTCAGCTAACTCAGGAGCAAAAAATCATAACCTCAAAGCATATGGAACAAATACTACTTTTGGGAGAAAACGGGTTGAAAAAGCAATAGCGTGATGAGACTTGACCAAAATGCTCAAGAGGAACTGGACACTAAGCAGTGTGGCAAGTTGTACCCAGCACTTCCCACTGGTTCTGTGCCAGGCAGTGTGCCAGGAAGACATTTCTCACCATCAGGGATTTAGCGCTGAATAGAGCAGGGGTCAGAAAGTCAGTTCACAGCAGCTGCCGCTGTGGTTTATGTAAGAAACAAGTATCAGGTATGAGAGAAAATTCGGAGTAGCTTCACAGGGGAAGTGTTGGTGGATAAAAGGGCTCTGAACAGCTACAGAGTACAAGAGGAGAAAGAAAGGAAGCCCGCAGGCCTTTGCTCCGTATGGAACCCACCCTATCTTTAATGGGACGGGAGAAAAAGGCATTTAGAAGCTCTTTGGCCTCAAGGTGCTGAAGAGTTGGCTCTTACAGACCTCAAAGTCAGTGTGGCACTCAGCCAACCAGCCAGAATATACGAAATGTCTATCATGTATTCTCTAACTTCCACGAATACTGAATCTTGCATTTTTAAGTGAGATTTCCAGTGTATCCAGTTACAGGGCCCAACAGCACTGAATACCTACCCTCTGCATCTGGAAATCCACCCGCCACATTCTCAAGGTCTGATCCCGGGACCATGTAACCAGCTGGTAGTCCTTGGACCCTAAAAATCACCAAATAAGCATCCTAAAAATTCTTCCAGATTTAACACCTATTTTGTTACAGGTCTCACTGGAGTATGATTCATTCATTCACTCATTCATTCACATATACATACACCCAATACATTTTTTTAAGGCAGGGTGGCCTTGAACTTGTGGCAATCCTCCTGCCTCAGCCTCCCAAGTGCTAGGATTACAGATGTGTGCCACCATGCCCAGCTTCAACAAATTTTTATTGAATAGCCAGGCATTTTTCTAGGTACCAGGATGACGGCATAAATAATCTCTCTTCAGAGACATCACATTCCAATGACAAAAAAAGAGAAGCAAATAAAAATACAATAAAATGCTAGGTAGTGGTAAAAATGGCATAAAAAATAAGCCAGGATAGGAAGACTAGACTGATGGGAGAGCTATTTTTAGACAGGACTCCCTGAGGAAGTCCCACTGGAGAAGAAACTTAAATGAAGTGAAATAATAGCTGGCAAATTAGCAGGTGGAGAGTTGCTGAGATTTCGTGTCACACTGAACTTTCACCTCTGCGAATGTTCTTCCTTTTTATATGCTCCTGAGGAGCTGGGGATGAATACATATTTGTAAGAATGAATTGTTTTAAATGCATCACGGCATGCTACTGTTGAAAAGAATTTTTTGGTAAAGTGATGCCTCTCTTTATAAAATGAATAATCAACCTTTAATCTTCTTAATTGACTGAATCATATTTTTGCATATTGAGTCTGCTGAAAAGGAAATTATTCTAAAAGGTTCAGGGTGTTTTATGAGATCTTATGAAAGAGCAGGACACTTAAGGCAATTATACAGCATCTAGAATCTCCCTCATCAGAAATAATTTCATCCAATTACCTCATTTTATGGGTGGGGAAATCAAGGTAACAGATAACACAATCAAGGGTCAGTTCCCTTATTATTTCCTTCTGTGTCACCATCTTTAACCAAAATTTTTAAATATACCCCTAAGCACATCTAACAAAATGCAACTATTCTTTTTCTTCAGGGTTTTTCTTTTTCTTTTGAGACAGGGTCTTGCTATGCAGTTCAGGCTGAACTTGAACTCACTGTGTAGCCCAGCCTGGCCTCAAATTTACAATGATCCTCCTGCCTCAGCCTCCTGAGTGCTGGGATTACAGGTATGTACCACCATGCCTGGCGACTTTTTTTTTCAATTTTTCAAAATTTTTATTAATACATGTTTTAAGAATGTAAGGTTACACTCTTTGTGGAGCTGGTATTGCACGTGTATGTACATAACAGGTCTCAATTCTTTCTTCATTCTACTTCTGTGCTTTCTCTCCCCCTCCCTGAACCTCTTGGTCCCCACTAAGGAGTTCTGCCATCTAGTCTCATGTTCAAGGTCACCAGCTGACCTCACGCCCTGGCCTCATGTATGCCCCTGACTTTGAGAAGGTGAGTGTAAGTGCTTTATGAACTCCCGCTTCTACCTGCGCCCTCCACCCTCCTCACGCCTCCCCAAAGGACCCCTGCTTTCCCAGCTTCTTTCTGCGCCTCTTCTCCCTGCCTTCCAAGAGTGAGGTCAGCAGCCTGCACCAACTGCCTCACTCTACTCCTTGCCTTTGAAGACAAATAAAACCGGTCCTGCTGCCTCTGTTTAGGCTACTTTATAAATGGTGTCGCACTCCCAGCCTCCATCTGCTCTGAAATACCTCCCCTCCTAATGACCCACGGCTTCCTCTTGGTTCAATTAAATGCTTTTGTCTTACTTTGCATTTTCACCCTTCAGCAACACCTGGAACCAATGACCACCACTTCCTTCATAAAGCATCCTTTTCCCGTGGTCACAACATCCTGATTCTCTTCCTACCTCTTGGAAAGATCCTTCCTCAGTGAAAATCAAAACCATAAGGTTTTGTTAGGGTGGTCTAACAAAAAATTGAGGCATAAGGTGTTCTAACAAAAAATTGACTAAGAAGATATGCAGTAAAAATAAATTGGAGCAACATTAGTGTAGTAGGTTGATAACTGGTGGTCAACTTATAACCTCAAGCTGAATTGAGTGAGTGTGGTGCTGGGTGTGGGAGGCCCACCTGAGGACTGCTGCCAGCAGCATAAGAGGCAGACCTGGAGAAGAAGAAGCAGGCTATTGGGAGCTGAGAGAGGCTGTTGGGAGCTGGTAGAACCTGTGAGGAGCTGGCTTCCTGATGAACTTGGCTGTTTTCACCCTCTGAGGAGCTCGGGACCTCGCTGGCACTGAGAGTGGCTTTGGTTCACTTTGGGGGAGCTCTGGTCCTCACTTTGAGCATCGCTTCCTCATTCCAGAGGGGAAGATGGTGCACTGCCAGCCTCCTGGAAAAGCTTGCTGTATTGGCTTCCCTGATGGGAACTCGGCCATTCTGATCATCGGAGGAGCTTGGGACCTCACTGTTGCTGAGGATGGCTGTGGTACCTTTTCGGGGAGCTCTGGTTCTTCTGAGCATCACTTCCTGGCTCCAGTGCAGATCCCTCAGCCTGCTAGCACAGGTCCTTCATCCTGCTGGCACAGACTGTAGATTCCACCACTGACCTTTGGGCCTTCCCAGCACAGATCCGTGAAACAGGCCTGCATGAGATGTTGTCATGGGCTCTGGGCCTCCAGCTGGATTCGTGGGAGGCACTGCTATGAGCTCTAGGTATTCAGCTGGACTCATGCAGGACACTGTTGCGGGATCTAGGCCCTCAGCTGGATTCCTTGGTCTTAGTGTGTGGACAGACTTCCTGCACTCTTGTATATTGTTCTTTGGGTGACTATTATAAATAACCATGTAAAGTATGTGTCCTGTATTATATTGTTCCCCTTGCAAAATAAGCCCCAAACCAACACAATTAGGTTGGAAGGAAAGTAGAATGTAAGAATACCTACAGGATAATAAAATTCATAAAAGATTCAAAACAAGGCAAACCTAAGTATGTCTAGAAATTGATAAAGTGATGAAAACAAATTAAAAAAGAAGTCGCTATGAAAAGCTTTACAATGGTAATGCTGCGGGGGAAGGAAGGAGATTATAGTCAGGAAACTTCTGGAGTCCTGGCATAATCTCTCTCTAGACCTTGGGGACTTACAGATCTCACTTTATAATTAGTAAACCATACATGTTCCATGTAATTTTTTTTTTTTTTTTTTTTTTGGTACTGGGAATTGAACTCAGGACCTTGTGCTTGCCAGGCAGGAGCCTGTGCCACTGAGCTATATCCCCAGCTGTTCCACGTAATTTTATGCTTGATCTATTTCATCATTAAAAATACACACAAAAATAAACTCTGTATCCTTTTTTTTTGAGGCAGGGTCTCACTATGTAGTCCAGGCTAGCCTCAAACTCCTCCTGCCTCAGCCTTTTGAGTGCTGGGATTACAGGGGTGCACCACCACGCCTGGCTAAACTCTATATCTTGTAATCAAATTTTCACTACTAACTAGATAGTTCCAGTTTACACAACTCATTCCAACAACTTAAAGATGACACATATAACTAAAAATGGGTTGCTAAAAACCATTCATTTCAATCCAAAACTCTAGGTCAGCTCTTCTCTGACATTGTGGGGGAAATTATGTTATCTATTTTCTATAGCAAAATACAAAAAATTAAGTTGAAAGCTAAAAGCCATGTACACAATTGGTGAGTAAGAACCAGGCAGCCTGATGTTTCTGGAAGTAAGAGAGATTTTGGAGATAAAGACAAGAAAGTTAAGGGCTAGAGCGGTAGCTCAGTGGCGTAGCACCTACCTGGCAAGCGCAAGGTCCTGAGTTCAGTTCCTGGTACCTGCCTCCCCGCCTGCCCCCTCTTGCCCAGAAAAGACAGGAAAGTTAGAAAATGATCAAAAGTCCCCTTGAAAATATTCTGAAAGAGGTTTATGAGGATCACAAGCAAGCTAAGGAGAAAACTAAAACATAAATAAAGAGCAAAAGAAAAGAGACAGGGAGGTAAACCTTCTGCAGACAGGAAGAGGAAGTAAAAAGGATTAAGCCGCAACACGTACCTGCACCAACTCCTATGATGAATGTATCATTATGTATGGTAAACATGTACTAATAAAAAAATAAACTAAAAGTAGAACAAGCTGGGATACAAGATGACTGACTGCTCTAATCCCAGGTCCACTGGATTTCCTAGGACCCTGGGCAAGTCACATTATTCCAGCTGCATAGTTTTCTCTGCTGCAATATGGAAATATCAAGAAATATGCATTGTTCTGACAATCATTTAGAGGCCATGGCAATAAGGCCCTCGAGAAAAGAGAGGCTGCATCTAAACCAGAATCTGAGCCTAAGGCTGTCTGATTCCCATCATTCTTATAACCTTGCATTAGTGAGGGATGACTAGATTTGGCTGCAGTAACAAACAGCCCCAAATTGCAATGCCTTAATGCAAGGATATCCTGTGGCTTTGTATCCTCCCATCAGCCTCATGGCAGGACTTGCAGGGAGCAGCTCCAGCTGGAATCTTATCAGCTGCAGGGCAGAGGCTCAGAGTACAGAACTACACACTGCCTAACACCCCAATCCTGGAGAAACCCATCATTTTGCTGGAGTTCCACGACCAAAGCAAGACATTTGGCCAAATCATCAAGGAGATGGAAGGTAAAATACTATTATATGTTTGAGAAGAGAGCTGCAGCTTACGTGGCAGACAGTTCTAACAACCACCATTGATTTCCCTCATCAAGAGAGGAGGGAAGGGCAAACTCCCTGGACTGCAGAGGGCACTGATCCCATGGTGTTTCAGCCCAAGAGATAATTCAATAACAAATCTCTATGAATTGCTTATAGTCGCAGATCTCTTCTAAGCAGGAGACTACATTAAAAATCGGAGGGGGCATTATGGGGAGGAGAGGCCATGATTACCCTCCTACGATTAAAGGTGATGCGCTTCCTCTCTCTCTGGTTCCTACAGCCCAGTCCTGCTCTGTGTCCTTCTTCCTGGCCCACATGGCCCACATGCCCGGTGCTGCCACCCATCACAGCTCAGAAGGACAAAGGACAGCAGTCTTCTTCCCCACTCACCTTCCTTCTGCCGCCTCCACTGGAACTCCAACACCACGTCATCGTGCCCCACAAAGGTGTGGACCGGGGTGTTCAAGTCAAAGACATTCCACAGGAGCAAGCTGTTTTCCCTTCGCAGCTGGGGAACCATTACAGTCACTAATCCATTGCTGAAAGGCTAGGGCAAGAAAGGGAAAAACAGGGATTATTCTGAGACAGTCAGCTGAGTCTCAGTTTTCAAAAATGGAATTCTTCCTAACTAAAACTGATTAGACGATAAAGCCAGCCATGGGGGCGCACACTATAATCCCAGCATTCCGCTTAGGGAAGGGACCACAACAAATGAAAATAAGCCTGAGCCAGGCGTGGTGGCGCACGCCTGTAATCCCAGCACTTGGGAGGCGGAGGCAGGAGGATCACTGTGAGTTTGCGACCAGCCTGGGCTACAAAGTGAGCTCAAGGCCAGCCTGAACTGCATAGCGAGACCCTGTCTCAAAAAGGCAAAAAAAAAACAAAAAAGAAAATAAGCCCGAGCCAAAATGCATAGGGAAGAACTTTGAAAATTCTACACTAAGCAAACAGCTTGGTGTAGAAACTGCTGTTTCACATCTTAGCTAGTCTCCATGAATTCCTCCTAAAGAAGGGGCACACGAGGCTGCCTGGAAACCACCGGAGCAGCAAATGTAATTCCTGCACTTGCAAAGGCCAGAGGCACAGCAGCCACGGGAAGCATCTCCTTCCCACGGCCCAGGACTCTACCCGCTCCACAGAGAGCTTCGTGACCTCAGGACTGATGTTCTACTCAGCAACTCCCAAGGAGCCCATTTGGTTGATAGCTGGACTCTATTTACTTAAAGAATAAGCCAGAGTCGCCTAAGAGCACATTTATTTACCTTCACATCTTCTTCGGGGAACATTCCTGGATTTTTTACTTTTTAAAGCAAACACATTAACCCAGAGAAGTGTATCCGTTCATAGGAACAGTGTCTGATTTCTTGGCAAGTGATCACGGGTGCAAAAACAACTTCATGCCCAATTATCTTTATCGCTACACAATGCTCCAGAGGAACAGCCTCATGCAGAAAGGTAGTTTTATTTACCCCCCATGCTTGCTTTCAAATAAACATTAAAGGAAATATATTACTTTTGATCAGCAGCTATCAATATGGTTGTGGAAAAATGAGTGGGAGGTTGATAATCACCTATCCTTTTCATAGCACTTTACGATTTATCAGACATATTCATATAATTTATTTCAAAAGGAAGGCAGATTATGAATGTAGTAAACAGCACTGACCTGTTGCAATTTTATAAAAAGGAGCTAGATGTAGTGGTGCACATCTGTGTTATGGCTTGTGTCTGGGTGTCCCCTCAAATCCTCATGCAGTCATAGGGCGGGCTTTTAGAGTTTACGATTGATTCATGGTCCAGTGTCGGAATTACGGACGTGAGTGCTACAACCCGCCCTAGGACAGGTAGTTTGCATATGTAAGGGAGGGAAAGAGGCTGCTTGCCACTGCTACTCCCTTTTGCTCTTGTTGCTTTTGCTGTTTTCTGCTGCCATGAACTGTTGCTCTCTGTGCCACTCTGCCTTGGAGCCAGCCAAGTATAGACTGAAACCTCCAAAAACTGTGAGCTAAATCAATCTTTCCTTCCTTAATTTGGGGGTCAGGTATTTTGTCTCAACAATGAGAGAAAAGTAACCAAGTCAACCTGCAATCCCAGTACTCTGGGAGGCCGAAGCAGAAGAAGGATTACAAATTCAGGCCAACCTGTACAATTCAGACACTTAGTGAGATTCTGTCTTAAAAAAAAAAAAAAAGAGGGCTGAGGATACAGCTCAATGCAAAAGCACTAGGTTTAATCCCCAGTGCTGCCAAAAAATAAAAAATAAAGGGAAGGCATAGTAAAAATTATTCTTTGTATTCTACAGAGGAGGAAATTTCTGCTCCAAGTCAACTGGCTTGTCCAAGGGTATACGAACATGAAATGGTAGAGCCTGGCCCCAGACTTCTTTCCTCCACAGTTCATTGGCTTCTAGCCCCTCACTCAACTTCTCCTCTATCCTCCCCTGCCGCCCCTGGTGAACACCTTCACTGTCCCCTTCTCAGTCCAGCTGTGGTCAGGAGCTCTAACGCAGAACCTAACCAACATTTCAAGGATATGACTGTTAAGTTGTTAGCAGCATTTATGCCATCATTACTACATCTGCCAAACCAAGACAGAAAGAGAAAACCATCTCACAAAAAAAGGAAGAGAAAATGTCCCAGGGTCCTTGCATCTGGAATACCAAGAGGAAGTTTCCTAGCAAGAGTCAGGGTATCTCACTCACCGTGTATCTGGCCTTCCACACAGGCACCTGACAGGGGAGAATATTGAGGTATTTCCGAGGCTGCCGGTAATCCCAGAACTAGAAGAAAAATTGTTTTGTAAGATAAAGGGCATTTTGAAAACTCAAATATTATAATAAGCATAGTCTTAGAACTCACTGCATTTCACCCTTCAAAGATACCTTTCAAGAGTGTATTTTTAGTTCCACCCTCATAACCATGCTACTTGGAGAGACACAAAGCATCCTCCCTTTCCCATTTATCAATATGACAGGAGAATTTCTGGACTTCACAAGGACCATCAATTTGAGACAGCTCACCGTCAGTCAACCTGCCTATTATGTGAGCTTTCAGTTGAAAGGTAAAACCAACAGGTTTTGATCCTGTATCACTTTCACATCATGTAAGTAATTTAATAACAATAGCTGAAATGCCCTGACTACTTACTGCATTTCAGACACGTATTTAAAACTTAGGTTTTTAAAATCCCATTTAATCTTTAAAACAACCATCAGCAGATACTATTAATCTCTTTTTCAAATGTCAAACTGGATGGTTCCTGGTTCCTGAACTTGGGAGATAAGCTGACCGGGATGTAGGACAAACACCAACTGCAACAAACAAAGTAAAAACAAACAAAATAGCCACTTCTGATACACAAAAGTAAATGACAACCCTACCTCAAGACAGATGTTCATTTTTAAGCCTTATGTATGACTCTAGTTTTGCTAACCACAGCAAAAGGACATTATACACAGCTATGTAAGTACAAAAAAGCACTGAATTAATGACACTGAGCCACAAAATTGCTAGGCCAACTTCTGCGGTCAAATCCCTGTCCGTAGGGACGAAGACTTGACCACAGGAGGAACTGTGGAGCAAAGACGGCCCTGGCCCAGCTGTGGATCTGGATCCTGGATGCAGAATCACCTGCCATCACGGTGATCGAGGGGTGCAGCACAGGCCGCAGCCACAGAGGACGAACAGTAACGAACACTGCATTCTGAGATAAACCGAAAATAACAGTCACTGAAATATGTAAAGCCTTGAGTGTTTCCTGTCAGTTAGAGAATGCCAGCAAAACAGCTCTGTCCCTGAGAGGTCCTATCTTTTGCAGATAGGATAATCACAAGAAAACTGCTGTTTCTGCACCAGGAACAGAGTAATTGTTGGCCTGATGACCTTCATAAATTTTTAGGCTTGCCTTTACTTGTATCTCTGTGTGTATATCTCACTTCCCCGCAACCTCTTTCCAAGTAAACTTCCTTTCAAAATGCTCTCTCTGACTTCCTGTCACTGAGGAAAAGAAAACCTAAACAAATTCAGAGTGTTATGGTTTGTGTCTGGGTATCCCCCCTGAAAGCCTCATGCGGCCATAGGCAGGCTTTTAGTTTGATTAAGTATGGGTGTGAGAGCTGCACCCGCCCTGGGGTGGATAGTTTGCATATGTAAGGGAGAGGAAAAGGGTGCTTGAGGCCATAACGCCCTGGTGTGTGTTTGTTGCTTTGCAGTGTTCTGCTGCCATGAGCTGTAGCTCTCTGCCATGTGCCAGTCTGCCTTGTAATCTGCCAAGTATGGACTGAAACCTCCACAAACTGTAAGCAAAATAAACCTTTCCTTCCTTAATTTTGGGCGTCAGGTATTTTGTCCCAGCAACGAGAGAAAAGTAACCAAGACACAGAGTCATCAGTTAGCTCCTACAGCCTCATTCCTCTTCGTCACAGTCACTAGGCTGAGTAGGGCACGGTGGCGCACACCTGGAATTGCAGCACTTGGGAGGCTAAGGAGGAGGAACGCCTCGACTTTGAGGCCAGCCTGGGCTACACAGTGGGTTCAAGCTCAGCCTGAACTACACAGTAAAACGCGCTCGCTCTCTCTCTCTCTCTCTCTCTCTGTCTCTCTGTCTCTCTCTCTCACACACACACACACACACACACACACACACTAATAAAAAAGCATAACCAGGTTTACTTGGTCAGCTCCCCAGGAGGCACATGTACTGACCAGGCTGGCTATAGCTCTCCTTCCAAAGTGCGATCACACATCCCCGACACCTCCCAAATCCAGCTCCTCCAACTGTCCCAGTGGGTGCCACTCACCTTGACCGAGTTGTCTTGACTGGAGGTGGCAAGAACGTGCTCGCTGTCTGGGTGCCAGTCAAGGCCGTGGATTTTGGAGAGGTGGGCTGCTAGATACTCCACTGCTGTGCTGGGTTTCTGCAACAGATTGGCACTGAGTTTCTCACAATAGAAAGAACTCTTTGGGTGGCTCCCATGTGACAGCCTGCTGGGTGCTGAAGGGGATACACAAAATACTACCAGCTTCTATCTCTACCCTTTAGCAACTCCACTTCATTTTGTTTAAGTCAAACAAATCACCACCACCAAGAGACTTATCTGGCTGTCCATCACGTGATTATAAATGGACCCAGAAGCCTGAAATCTACCCAAGCCGGGCATGGTGGCAAGTGCCTGTAATCCCAGCACTCGGGAGGCTGAGGCAGGAGGATTGTTGTGAGTTTGAGACCAGCCTGGGCTACAAAGTGAGCTTAAGGCCAGCCTGAACTGCACAGTAGGACCTTGTCTCAAAAAAGACCAAAACAAACAAATAAACAAAAAAACAAAGAAGGAAAGAAAAAAAACCTACCCAAGCCAGCCCAATGCACGACCTTCATGAAAGACATACACAGGTAGGTACTTTTCACCTTTTGATTCCTATTCCCTTTTCCCCTATCACCCAAGAACAAGGGCTTGTGACACCCCAAGGGACCCCATTTCAGCTGAGACAGTAAAATCATCCATCTTACAGTGATTGAGAACTAAGATCCCAAAAGAAAACAAATATATGCCAAAAAAGCTTATATAAAACTGGACAAACTCAGAAGGAAACCTCAGAAATACACATTAAAATAAGATTTTTAAAACTTTCAAGTTAGAAGGTATAAAGAATAATTCTATGTCAGGCATGGTGGTGGACATTTGTAATCCCAGCACTCGGGAGGCTGAGGTAGGAGGAACGCTGTGAGTTCAAGACCAGCTTGGGCTGCATATTGAGTTCAAGTCTAGCCTGAACTGTAGAGTAAGACCCTGTCTTAAAAAAAAAAAAAAAAAGAAAAAAGAATTCTGAGGCTGCATTTGCACTACTGTTGTACATACAAAATAGTTCAACCTTTTTAGAAAAAAAATTTAGTAAGGTTTATCAAGAGACTTAGCCAGGCCTAATCATGCAGTGCCTATCTACAATTTCAGCACTTGAGAGGCTGAGTTAGGAGGATCACACAAGTTTAAGGCCACTGTGGACTACACAGCAAGATACTGTCTCAAAAAAAACCCAAAACCAAAAAGCAAACAAAAAAAATTGTTTCACTTTTTTAAGGGAGTAATTCAAACCCACAAAAACCTTTACATATATCTTGGTGCTACTTGGAAAACTAGATTAGAAACAGCCTAAACAACCAGTAGGACGGGAAAAAATTAAATTGCATCATTACGCACAGCTATCTGATACATTATAATGTAGTCCTTAAATTATCCTTAGAGCTTATAACATGGAAGAAATGCATTAGTTGTATTTTTTTTTTTGGTCTTTTTGAGGCAGGGTCTATGCAGTTCAGGTTGGCCTTGAGCTTTGTTGCCCAAGCTGGTCTTGAACTTGCAACGATCCTCC